CACAAATTCTCCTAAATCACTCGTACGCACAATTTAAGAACAAATCTGTGCGTACGAACGGTTCTTGCATGAGGCCCAATGTTGTTTCATGGTTGATCTCTAATGACTGAAATGTCAACATCTAATCAATGCTGAATCACCATTGATAAAGTCTCAGTTATGGTTGAAAACCTAACAACAAATAAGTCATCGACCACTTTTTCTATAAATTTCAACGTGGATTCAATATCGCGCCTAACCATATTTCAGTGTTGATTCACTCATATATGAATAAATGGTTGGCTCTAATTTTTGGATCTATGCGATCTGTCAGCATCAGTCTGATAAACAAAATGGACCAGAGATGCCACATCAAATCATAATCACTCCATCCTGTTGTAGTGGAAATGATGTATTAGTTGGTGTTCTTGCTCTGAAGCCAGAGCAGAAAGACATACAGGCTGAAGTATTTTTTAATTTAGCGCAAGCCATATCGTCATTGCATTATTATGCACCGTTATCGCAGGTTTTCTGAATGTCGTAAAACAGATCAATAACAGTAACACTATGACAAGACAGGCACATTAAATGTTTTGCCTTTACAAATTAAAAAAAACACTGAGACACAAGTTTTTTTAAGCTCCATTAAGTGGTTTCAGCCTGTTTGCTCTGAAAACAAAGATTAACAATTAGACTAAAGTCTGCAGAAAATCTTCCTTCTCTGCAGATAATACCACAAAAGCACATCTCCATTCATCCCCCACAGTTCAGCGTAGGTAATGTGATATCATTCTTTGGAGCGGACCCTCAGTTAGCAGATGGTCAGCTATTCAAACATGTCTGGAAACTAAGACCTACATGACCGAGGTTCAAGGCTGGGTTATTCAACCACAAGAATCTTTACAATAATAGTGCATTGTGTGTGTTGGGCTGTCAACGCATAAAAGTACCTGAAATTTGTTTCAGAAACAAACACCTGTAGTCCAACTGCTTCTTGGGAAATCCTGGAGTTAGTGTGGGGATTTGGACCAGTTTGTGCGCCGTTTCTCAATTTGCCAGATTAAATCTGACAGCCGGGACTAAACATCGAGCTCCAGCTTCCTTTTTTAGGCACTCTAACAAATCCATGACCACAATGAGGCGCATTCCTGTATGACAGACAGCATTTCAACTCTGCTCACAAAGGGGAGGTGCGGGCTTTAAATGATCCAAAGCGAACTGTTTTTTGGTTCTCCTCTCGTCTTGTGCGTTGCGCGCCATCAGCAGCCAACACTCCAGAAACGTGATCAGTGAACTCCGGTAAAGATCCATCAAGGTGTATCATCTGTTTATCATCGGGAAAACAAAGCAGCCACTGTTCAAAAGAATGTCCCAACACAGACGAGCTACATCTAATGGCCAGAACTCTGACGTTTTCACTCATTTACAGGCCAGCGGTCACTCTTTCAGAGATGAGGATGTTCTCATTCTTGACAGAGAGGAACGTTGGTTTGAG